TGTGATTTGGAAGTCGTCAGATTGTAACTTCCATCATCGGTGTTTGATGGGAATCAGCTATCTATTGTGATTTTTAGACAGCCTACAATTTTCATCGACTACAACACTTGATTTTTGACAATTTTGTTTTTTTTAATATAAGTAAATTATATGTGCATACAAATTCACAATTTTCAAGAGCTATATAACCTATGGTTTTTGTTAATTTTCATTTACTTCGAATGAAAGGAAATTATTTTATGTGTCAAAATTTGCGACTTTCGTGGACTAGAACCCATAATTTTTTGATAATTTTTGTTTGCTATTAAAGAATTAAAATAAATTATGTGCATATAAAAATTCATGATTTTTATGGTTATTACTTATGATTTTTACCACATCTGTTTTTTTTGAAAGAAATTAAATAAATTAGATGTACAATGAAATTCAAAAGTTATATGAGCTATAACACAATTTTTGTTAAATTTTATTTTAGTTTAAAAAAAGTAAATTTATTTTGTGCATATCAAAATTTGTAATTTTCATGGACTATAACCTACGATTTTTAAAACTTTTAGTTCATTTTGAAAATAATGCACACATAAAAATTCATGATTTTTATGGCCTATAACTTACTGCTTTGACAATTTTCTTTCTTTATGAAAAAAAATAAATCTATTATGTGCAGTTAAAAACTTACAATATTCATGTGCTATTTTTGGCAAGTTTGATTTATTTTGAACAAATATAAATAAATTATATTTACATAAAAATTAACGATTTACAGGAGCTATAACCCATGAAATTTTTTTGTTCATTTCAAGAATAATATAAACAAATTATGTGTACATACAAATTTACGATTTTTATGATCTACAACCCATAGTTTTTCTGAATTTATCATTTATTTCAAATCAAAGAAATTTTATTATGTGTATCAAAATTTGTGATTTTCATAGACTATAATCCATGAGTATTTATAATTTTTGTTCATTTTGAAAGAATTAAAATAAATCATACATACGTCAAAATTCGAGATATTCATGCATTATAAACCATGAATTTTTTATAATTTTTTGTTAGTTTTAAAAGAATTTAAATAAATTATGTGCACATCAAAATTTGTGAGTTTTAGGAGCCATAACAAATAATTTTTGCTACTTTTTATTCATATTGAATTAAAGTAAATTTATTATATGTACATTTTCTTGGGCTACATCCCACGATTTTTAATAATTTAGATTTATTTCGAAAGAATGTAAACAAATTATGTGTGAGTAAAAATTCATGATTTTCATGGGCCATATAACCCATGGCTTTTGATAATTTGGTTTTATTTTGGAAGATGTAAATGAATTATACGTACATAAAAATTCATGATTTTCATGGGCTATAACCAATGATTGTTGATAATTTTGATTTATTTTGAAAGAATACAAATAAATTTTAATTGCATATAAATTCACAATTTTTAAGAGTTGTAACCTACTATTTTTGTCAATTTTTATTTATTTTAAAATGAAAGTAACTTTATTATGTGTATATAATTTAGGATTTTCATGGGCTACAAGCCTACAACCCAGGATTTTCGGCGATTTTGGTTCATTTTGAAAGAATTTAAATAAATTATGTGCACATCAAAATTCATGACCTTCATGAGCTATAACTATAAGCCACCATATTTGTCAATTTTAGTTTATTTTGAAAGAATTAAAATAAATTTTGCATACATCAAAATTCCATTTTCATGAACTATAACATGCCATTTTTATTGATTTTCATTCATTTCGAATGAAAGTAAATTTATTATATGTACATTCAAATTTTTTTGATTTTTATAGGCTATATCCCACGATTTTTGACATCTTTGGTATCTTTTGAAAGATGTAAATCAATCATGCACAAAACAAATAATAATTTTTGTGAGCTACAACTCACGATTTATACCAATTTTTGTTCACTTTGAAAGAAAGTAAATTTTTTAAGTGTATATCAAAACTTATAATTTTCAATGCATATAACTCATAATTTTGAACAAATTTGGTTCCTTTAAAATAAAATTAATTTATTACGTGTGCATCAAAATTTGCAATTTGCATGACCTATAACCAATGATTTTTGAAGATTTTGATTTATTTTAAAAAAATGTAAATAAATTATGTATACATCGAAATTAGAAATTTATGTGAGCTATAACTCATATTTTTTCAACTTTGGTTCGTTTCATGTGAAAGTAAATTTATTATGGGTACATCAAAATTGGCGATTTTCATGGGCTTTTACCCACGTTTTTGTGAAGATTTTGATTCATTTTGAAAGAATGTAAATAAATTATGTCAAAATTTGAGATTTTCATAAGCTATTTTACAATTTTGGTTCATTTCATGTATAAATAGATTAATTCTGTGTATAAAAATATTTGCGATTTTATGGTCTATAACCGGTGAGTTTTAACAATTTTAGTTCATTTTAAATGAATTTAAATAAATTGTATGTATATCAAAATTCGCAATTTTCATGTGCTATAACCCACGATTTTAGTCAATTTATGTTCTTTTCAAACAAAAATAAAGTTGTTGTGTATATCAAAATCTACGATTTTCATTGGCTATAGTCAACAATTTTTGAAAATTTTGGTTAGAATTTAAATAAATTATGTGCATATCAAAATTTATAATTTTCATGAGCCATAAAACAGATTTTTGTTAAATTTTATTCATTTTTAAAATAATTTAGATAAAATAATTTTGAAAGAATTTTATGATTTTCATGAGTTATAACCCACGATTTTTATAAATTTTCATTCGTTTCGAATGAAACAAATTTATTATGCGATACATCATAATTTACAATTTTTATAAAGTATAACCCAAAATATTTGACAATTTTTGTTTATTTTAAAATAATGCAAATCAATTATGTGTGTATAAAAAATTCACAATTTGCATGGGCTATAACTCCATAACTTTTGACAATTTTTATTCATAAATAAATTATGCGTAAATAAAAAATTATGATTTACATGAGATACAATCCATGGTTTTTATCGTTTTTTCTTCTTTACAAAAAAAAATAAAATTTATTATGTGTAGATCAAAAATTATAATTTTCATAGGCTATAACTCATGATTATTAACTTTTCAGTTTGTTATGACGAATATAAATAAATTATATTTATGTAAAAAATCATAGTTTTCATAGACTATAACCCATGATATTTTACAATATTGATTCATTTTTAAAAAATAAAAATAAATTGCGTGTATATAAAAATTCATGATTTTTCATGAGATATAACTCATGGCTTTTATCAATTTTTATTTCTTTCAAATGAAAAAAAAATTATTATATGTTATCAAAGTTTGCGATTTTCATGGGCTATTATCCATGATTTTTGACAATTTGGTTCGTTATAAAAGAACTAAAATAAAATTATGAATACATCAAAATTCTTAATTTTTATGCATTATAATATATGATTTTTATCAATTTTGCTTTATTTTGAAAGAATTTAATAAGTTATATGTACATTGACATTCACAATTTTCATGAGCTATAACACACGATTTTTTATAATTTTCTTTCATTTTGAGTGAAAGTAAATTTATTATGAATACCTCAAATTTTATAATTTTCATGAGCTATAGCTCATAAATTTTTAAATTTTTAGTTCATTTTGAAAGAATGTGCATAAATCATGTTACATAAAAATTCACGAATTTTAATGAGCTATATAACCCATGCTTTTCTACAAGCTTGATTTGTGTTGAAAGAATGTACATAAATTATGCGTACATAAAAATTGATGATTTTTATAGGCTACAACCCATAATTTTTGACAAGTTTGGCTTTTGTTGAAAGAATGTATACAATTTATGTGTATATTTAATATATGATTTACATGAGTTATAAGTCACTATTTTTGTTAATCTTATTCATTTCAAAAGAATTAAAATAAATTATGTGTAAACACATGATTTTCATGAGTTATAATACATAATTTTGTTAATTTTTGTTTGAATAATTTTGTTAATTTTTGTTTGTTACGAACAATTATTTGCCATTTTCAAAGGCTATAACCCCATGATTTTTAATAATTTTGATTCATTTTGAACGAATGTATATAAATTATATATAGGTAAAAATTCACGATTTTCATGAGCTATAACCTATGGTTTTGACAATTTTAAATATTGTCAATTTTTATTTGTTTCAAATGAAAGAAAGTTTATTATATGTATCAAAATTTGTGATTTTCATAAGCGATAACCCATTATTTTTAGTAATTTTTGTTCATTTTATGTGTATATTAAAATCTCACCAAAAGATCTGAGAAACCCAAGATTTCTTCCCTTAATCCTCTCTACTTCTCTCTTATAATATGCAACTCTCATTGGCTTCCTATCCTCTCCGCGCACGGACATCCCATAAACACCGCCAGCCTCCTCTTCTCCGCCTCTAGCGACCTCCTCAGATCCTCATACTCCTTAAACATCAGCCTCTCTGGTGACCGCCTGATCGCATTCCCATACTCTTATCACATTGCTCAAGAGCGGACCCGACGACGACGTGTAGGCTCCATTGAGAAACGCCCCCACAAACTCGTCGACCACTTGCATGCAAACCGGCAAAATCAATTATGTGTTTAAAAAAAAATGCAATAAAAAAGGCCCAAGTCGGACAACTGGGTGCAAACCTTCGAACTAAAAAACTATAAACGTAAATAACCTCCGAACTAAAAGGACCCTTTTCTCAATTAAATGATCCTCTCCGCGATCAAAAAGCAATAATAACTACAAAAGCATAAATAACCTTCGGACTAAAAGCACTTCTGTTGATGTGCAGTCATTAGCTGTTTAATTCTGGAATATTGTTAGGGATACAATCCTTTTAGTTCGAAGGTTACTTGCGCCTGTAGGTTTAGGCGCACAAATGATTGGTTAGCAAGGTACGTCATCAGTAAAATTAAGTCAAAAAGAAACAATTTAATCTCAATGTCAGAGCTATGACGATGAAGCTCGTCACACAAATAAAAGGGGGAACTTGCAATAACAACAACATAATACTGGTAATATAAGGTCATGAACTACATGAATTTATTATTTCAAATTGACCCTTCTTAATTAAATATTTTTTTTTGGTCTTATACTATATCATCATACACTTAATGTGGGTCACAGCCTAATACAGGCATAGAACTCCCTGACACCGATGGAGAAAAAGATCGATCAGGGATCTTTTCAGCGACTTTATTTTCACTTTTCTCACCCACCATGCAGCTTGAAGCAACGCTCCATTATAAGTACAAATAAATCAAGAATTTGAGAAGAAATATCTAACCAATTACTACTTATTCCTCTTCATCGGCGAGCAATGCAAATGAAAAGGGCGCAAACTTGTATCCATCTCCCTCATAAAACTTGTTCTGAAACTCCACCCAGTGAAGCCTCAAAGCATGTAAGAAGGCACTGAGAGTTTCCATGACAAGCAGAACACCAACAGTGGCAAAGATGAACACGATTGCACCGATAATGAGAATAAATATATTGCTGTACCTGAAATAACATAGGTGTTGTTAGCTTCGCTTCCATAAGCATACATATAACAATTAAGTAACTATTTAAATATAACCGAAGCATTAACTCCAAACTTACCCCCAAGCAAGAAGAAGAACCTTCTCATAAAACACAGTTGACAATTCTGAGTGAGCAAGACTGCATATCACCAAATGAAACATACATTAGTCAGTGAAAAGGTAACTAAAATATAAAGATCTAAGTATTCTAGTAAGTCAATAGCCTGCAAGTTCAGAATGGTGATTTTCTCTCCTTTTCATGATCCATTGCTAAAGAGAATATCCTACTGAGTACAGAGGACAATACCTTAGAGCCCACAGACGAAGATAGGAGGCAGTATTTGAAACTGCTCCCAGGACAAACTCAATGGTGTGAATGAGCTGGTGGACAAAAACTTCACTAAATTCAAACTCTTCATGATCATGTGAACCATGATCTTGCTCCTCGAGTACATCGACATCAGTACTGTGAAGAAGGGCATAGGATTGACCCTGGTGTCTCTGAGACACAGGAAGAATGCACATGATCAATACAGGTACAAAATTATTAATCAGAAAAAACAATTAATTACAATAAACACAAGGCATACTTCTTCATGTTGCTTCTTTAGGAGAAAAGGCTTCGGAAGTAACATCCATGGAACAGAAATGAGTGCAAGCAATAGTAATGTGAGCTGGAAAGATGGTACCAAGAGTGAGAAATATTCGACCAATGTAGTTCTTGAACAATTAACCTAAGCGGGTATATACAAAACCTGCAGTGGTTTCTGATAAGGAAACAGCTGGTTTTCACCAAGATCATCAGTTGGGCTAAGGAACATGTATATCATTACATGATAAAGATCAGCTTTTGAACCAGTGCACCATTTCACTATGATGAGTAGTGACAGGTAACCAAACAGGCTGTTCAAAAAGATCAACTGAGGAATAAACTGGTGCCTGCAACGGAATACCAGATAAGAATCATATGCAGAATTCATAAATAACAAAATTAGAAACAAGGATTTACATTTATTGCATGACAAACAATTATATTTCTATCAGATAATTTAGCATAAAACGACAAAATGATAGGAATTCCTACTTAATGCAGCTTAAGGTCTTGCATTAACCAGCAAAAGGTAAATATTGAAGCACATTAAGGATTGTACTAGTCCAGTATGACTCAGCAACCACACTTAATATCTATGTTTCCCTTGAAACTCTTGTTGTTTTCAGCTTTTGGAAAATAGGATATATTCAGAGTACAAAATCTTTTATCACAAGGAAAGCCTAAATTCCCTAATACAAACATTTTCTATTTTGAAAGCAGTGTAATTTTGCATTAAAGTCATTAAAAATTTCTTTAGCTGCAAGAACGTATATTTACCTATCACCAAGAAAAATAAGGCATGGTCTAGATGCTACTGTCAACTACAACAACAACAGTTGACATATTTCTTTATACCATGCATTAGATTTAGTATTTTACTTTTATCTATTAGAAATTCTTGGTACATTCACTTACCAGACGTTAATACTGTTCCTGAAGAATTTGGCATTATAATAACTTAAGAAGATGCCAAGGTTCATTTGTGCAACACCAATAAGGATGGACATTTTCATCTTCAATGAGTTCAGGAACGGCAATTCACTTCGGCTGCCATACCATTTCGGGTCCACACCAAACGGATATGCAGGCCTCACCTTGATTAACCCTGCTGTAGTAGCATCTCTACAATTGATGGGGATAAAACAATAAGAAATGACCACAAATTAACACTATCAAGAACAGGAAATTATGTCAATACCTGCAGGAAGCATCACGGCATGCATAGGCAGACGGCCCAAAAATCTCAAAAGGAACAGAAAAGAACTCATTGTAGATAAACCCAGTATATATTGAGAAAACTGCCATCATCATAATTACATACCGACCACCAAACGTCATCTCCATGATATCCCCAAGTTTCTGTTAGTCACAAAAGAAAATTGAGAGAGAAAAGGTCAGGTTGGAACTTGAGCTACAATAAATTTCAAGGAGTAAAGAAACAAAAGTAAAAAAACATATTAGAACTTCAAAGCTCAATAGAGACTATTAATTGTGAAATGAAAGGAGAAATCTACACTGAGAAACATGATATGAAGAAAAGATCAATCATCGCATATCCATAAACTTTTTCAATATAGCAACAATGTAATTACAAGGTAATATCTAAATCAACAGACTTTTTCTTTGCATAATATCATTACCTATAAAAACTCTATACAAATCGTGTTAATTTAACAAAAGCCTACATGGAGGGGACTGGATAATTTTAAAATAAAAAAAAGAAAATTTTGCTAGTTTGGAGACTGGGTAATAAATAAATAAATAATGGAATGTGAGACGGAAACATATGGCTGCTATAGCATCATGTAGTGGTGGATCCACTCACGTCCAGTCTGAGGTTGGTCGCTTTACACAAATCTCGACTTAGTTCATGTTCAGACAAGTCTGAAGTATGCATTTAAGAGTTGTCTAGTTGCTGAAGTCAGGCTGGAAACATTGAAACTCAGTGGTTGCATGTGTGGTAATGTACAGATGTAGACATTAACCTTGTCTGCATAGGTGCATTGACAATTACCCATAAATGATAAATGGTTAGCAACTCATGCTTATAGTTCTGCATCAAGCAGTTACCTAAGCAACATAACTGGGCGGGAAGGAAGTAACAGCAAACTTGAAGCTTTAAATGGATATAAGAACATGGGCATACTGATGCATCTATTTCCAAGATATTTGTGGCATCTATTAGAAATTTATTCAAATTAATAAAGAAATAATCTCTGTCCATTCTGTCACAAATGTTCTCATAGTTTGAAGTGTCATAACAAAAAATCACATGCTTTGTGTAGTACACTTCTATCTTATTTGGAGGACAAATGACTCATATCTTTTTTAACAATTCCCTTTTATTCCCAGACTTCCCCTTTGCTAAAGTGATTATCAATATCTGAAACATGGCGAATATCAACTTTTATGGTGGGTTTGGATAGAGAAAAGGGTAGGGGAGGGAGATGATTGAACTACACCCGCGAGGGGCAAGGGGTGAGAAGGAAAAGAAAGGATGTAATTGGACTAATGTGTTTGGATCCACTATTATAGGAGGAAGCAGGAGGCAGTGTGATGGAACTAATTTGTGCTTCTTTTAGAGTAGAAAATGAGAAGTGAAGGGAAGGGAAGCAACATGACCAATTCACTTAAATTCCAACATTTCCCCTCCCAATCCATCCACTTTAGGAGGTTTAAGAAAGCGAGTAATTTCCTACTTTTTAACCCTATCATCCCATCCCCTTACTAATTAAATTTTCTATCCAAACATAATATTCGGAAGGTTAGCATTGTACCATCCAAACCCTTCCCCTCCCCTCTTGAATAAACCTATCCAAATTCAACTTAGTTAACTACAATAGGACATCACAGCAAGTTTTTTTTCAATGGAAAATGTAACTATGGTTTAGCTATCATCACAAGCAAACTCTTAAAAAATATTCAGCAATTTACAGGAGCATGGGAATTTACAGGAGCATGGCCACAAAAAGGATTATACACGTTCTTTCACTTCTTTCTTATTTGGTATATATATCGTGAGAAAAGGTATGCTATGACATACCTTTATAGATGAAAAGGAATTCGATCAACATCTATGTAATGTGTAGCGTCAGGAAAAATAATCATCACAATGACCTAATAGATTTAAAATTTTGACGAACATATGCAACTAGTAAAATTTTCAAGACTCAGGCTACAACATTGCTGACCTCAGAAGATAGTTTCTTTTCTCGGAATATGAAATATAGTGTAGCAGCCAACAAGCACAAACCATGACCCCAGTCACCAAACATGACTGCAAACAGAAATGGAAATGTGACAATAGTGTATACGCCAGGATTTGCTTCTTGATATCTGGCAATCCTGAAATAAATGAAATCAGAGACTCAGTTACCAATGTGGAACGAACAAGAAAATGAAAATGACCTTTATATGTTGATGTGTATGAATAAATGCAGATTTGAGCAGTGATCTCTGTTTTTATTGCGTCTTAGCTCCCACTGCCTGAATAAAGTAAAATGATGGGTATCATACTGATACACATTTTTCCGTGTCAACAAGTGTGTTAGTTGTTCAGCCATGTTGCTATGAATAGGTGATGATGATTATTGCTTATTTAGCATTGAGGTTGTTCATATCACTGAACTTCAGTGTATGTTGAACCATGACTTACCCATATGCATCCACAATTTCCTGGAACGCTGTAGTAAATTTGTTTGTCCTGAAATACGTGGGGGGCAGTTCTGTAGTATGCAAAACTTGGAAAATGGACCCAACTTGGGATTTGCTATCAAAAGTAGACCGTTGTAATGCATCCTGAATCTGCACATATGAGGCTCAAGAGTGAATGCCAGCAATATTGAAGTGATGCAGCAAGTAAAAGAGTACAAAAATTAAATCTCCTAGAGCATAACCAGCCTACCTGGTTAGTAGCAAAAACAGGGCTCCAGCCTTCAGCGACTAAACATTTTTTCGTAACATCAAGGCTGAGCATGTTCAAAGTGTGGTACACAGACTTCTCCTTCCTCACCTAAGACATTTAAGTAGAGTCAATTAATAAAATTAATGAAAATACAATTACACTGAAAAAAGGATCATAAGTTGTGTGAACCAGAAAAGACATTGCAGAACAAAATGAACAAGAAAAAATATAAACGTACCAAAGTATTCCACTGCTCAAACTGGTAGCTAATATTCTTCAGTAGATTATTACGATGAACCAATCCAATGTCTATAGTTGTCTTTAGCTCCAAAATTTTTCCAGACACCTGGCAATTGACAATTCAAGAAGTCAATTAAGGGTGCATTCCATGTAACACAATAAAACGAACAGATTAGAACTGCTTCAAATCATGTAGCACTTCCGACAGAAAAATGAACAAAAAGCTAGTACTCAAAGTTTTATTCAAGGATGCAACAAATTATAGGTTTCTAGATGTTTCTGCAATGATTATTATTTAAATAGCATCAAAAAGAGTAACATTACCAGTAAGTACATTGTACTAAAGAAGAAAATAGTGGGTATGCTGAAATTTTTATTCTAGAGAAGACATAAAATTGCCATACGCTGTTGAGAAACTTTAAAATAAAATGAATTGTATGTTAGTACAGGCTAGAGATAAACCAAAATCACTCAAGTTTCTCACACAAACCTCATCAATCATCTGCATTTGCTTGCCTAGATCCTCCGTAAATGGGTAACGGTTTGCTCCAAAAGCTTCACATATCTTCAGAATCTTGGATTTTGCTCTTTCTCCAGAATAAAATATTACAAACACATTTTTTGCCACCTGCAAGAACATGTATTTAAGGCAGAGAGCATGACATAAAAACAAAAGACGAATCTATAATAATTAAATTTATAAGCACTGAATGAGAGATTGAAACATAAAGACCATGAATTAATCTATATATCTAAATGGAAAATAATATAAACTATAACAATTATCCATGTTCATCAACATCCAAGGCAGATATGCTGTTAACTACCACAACTGTAAAAAAAAGAAAAAAGGGATGATTTCTCAGAGGAAACATGGTAAGATAATAATAAACCTAGGCGGATGAGTAATGAAATAACTTAATATTGGCAAAACATAAAAAATATAATACACCTTATAGAGGATAGAATTTCTTTAAATATGCTGAATGAGAGTGTGGAAACCAAACAAAAAACTGATGGATGAAGGATAAATTTTCATGGTTTCCGCACGGATAAAGATATACAGGAGGAAGAAAGTTCATGTTTATCCGAAATCATAAAGATAAATCATCATCCACAGGCACTACTATCTCAAACACATTTGCATCGCATAGGAAAAGCAGTGGTAAAGGAAATATAGAAATGTGGAAAATGTTCAAGAATCAACTTGATTTAGTGCCATAATAGAATATCTTGAAGCTAATTAAACTTAAGTCAGCGCATTTCAGAGATAAGAAACATGTATATTGTGCAAGCACTTAACGAAGAAACATGCAGCTTTGCTTATGAAACTGCAAGAATAGCAACTTCCCTCTTCTTAAACTAGTGCAAGACAAAATCAAATATCTTCAAATGATATATGATTATTTATGCAAAGGATGAGTTGTTGCTTAACATGTGAATCATTAAGAATTCGTTTTCAATACTGTTTACCTGAAAA